ATACAAGTGAATATCAGAAATGCATTCATTCACACATACACACACACACACACACACACACACACACACACACACAGAGAGCAAATAATGATTCAGCTTTAAGCCCATATAATAAAGCCCAATGTTTAAGGAACAAGCATATCATCTTGTGAAAGAACACCATGCCTTGGTCTTTAATGAGTTTTGGGGCTCATTTTAATGAAAGCTCACAAGCTCCTCTCGGTTCCCACATATACCCGCTCTTGCCTGGCACACTAGAAACGCAATTACCGCAATAAAGTTCCTTTGTGACAGCTTTACCACACCAGCTTCTGATCACAGTCAACTTTCAATCTGTCCTGCTCCACAAATAAATCACATGTTTTAGCTGAAGGGCATTTTTAGATGAGGTTGGGCGCATTGCATATTTGTGCTCAAACACAGTTATCACTATTACTAGTATTTATACTTGAGTCAGATATTTGGACAAAAAGTATTTAACCTTGGTGCATAACATAACTCACACCATTTGTGATACGGACATAAATGATATCTTAAATTGTGCAGCTTGTTAAGGAGTTTACTGTGCTATTACTTTTCTAAATGCTCAGGCATGGTGGATGATGAAACGGGCAAAAAAAACACTTTAGCATACTTTTAAAAAAAAAGGAAATGATAGGCCTATACTCTAAAACAATATAAGTGTGAACTGAATGTAATGTTTTTGAAAACTTAATTGCATATTAACTGCAATTAAATTAAATGTAGCATAGATAAAATTGATATTAAATGCAATTTGCTGAACTTTACAGTGTTTTTTGACCCACTTAAGTAGGACTTCAGTACATAATTACAAATGTCATAATTACTTCTATGCCATAATTACACCTTTGAAATATGGTTAATGTGTACTATTCAATATACTGACTAGCATTATACTAATATATATTCTAATGTCATTTTTAGAATATTAGCGGTTTGGTTACTACCCAGAAGGTTGGGTTAAACATTTAACCCAACCGCTGGGTCAAAACAGCCTAATTGCTGGGTTTGTCCCTATTTTACCCAGCACTGGGTCGTATTTAACCAAGCATTTTTTTAGAGTGTAACTTTATATGTAATATCGAATAACACACTATAGTTAAAATTATAATCAAGGACATTGCATGTGATTAGCAACACATCAAAACAAGTGTACTTCATTAAAGCACGACAAAATATTTTTAAAACAATGATTTAGAATGTACTTTAAGCTTTTAAACTTTTAATTTTACATTAATAAAATTCACTTTTTAAAAGTGTACTTGTTACGAAATACAGTCATTAAAGTGTTCTAGCTTTAAGTACACTTAAGTGGCCTTTTATGTCATTAATATTATATTATCTGCAAGTACAATTTTTTTTTAAAATATACTTTTAAGATTTGAAGTACACTACAAGTGCACATCCAATACAATTAAGCGCACTTCCTTTTCACATGATTGTGCTATTATTTTAGCCATTAGCAATGTTAGCAATTCATTGCTGTGTCTATCTGAGGCACGTCACGTGAAGATCGTCGTACTGTGCAACAGTAAGCGAGTGTCTACGTGTGTGAAAGAGCAAAGGGGAATAACTGAAAGCAGTTGAGAGCCATACAGCACTGGGATTTTCTTAATTCAACACAGATGTTAGCCATGTTTGTAATACTGAGGGTGAGTGGGGATTGTTAACTTTTACTGTACGTTAAAAGAGAAGGATGAGATGGACTGCCTGGGTCTGAACCTCTGCCCACTCAAAGAAACTGTGTACATGCATTTGATATACATAATTATCTCAGTGGAGTTTCCATATTTAAAAAATAAATAAATAAATAAATAACATCTCTTTCAGGGTTCCCAGAGATGACATAGGCAAACAGAGACTATTCTCTATTTCAAATATAACATCTGTTTCTCACAGAAACAGGCATATTACTGCCTGCAGAGGTGGCATAAGAGATAGCGGTTAAACTCACCACACATACAAGCCTCTGCATCCAACCAGCAACCAGGCTCATCATGACATCAGCCACAGTCATTATGACATCATCACCAGGGGGTCTCAGTGCCGTCCATACCCCATTCGCCACATCACCGCACTGCTCTGTATTAAAGAGAGCCAGGGTTAGACCACACTTGCAACTTGTGGAAATTGTAGAGTTTATGAATACAGTATATGCTGTTCAAAATATCCTTTTCCCTCCTCAAGAAACCTCAGGACTGTTAAAATGCTAGTTTTAACTAGCTGACTGTGCCACTTATGGCAGCAGTTTTCCAATCTGTCCAGTGGGAAAGAAATGTTTAAATACTTAAAGACAAATAAAGTCATTACTGTTAAGATGATACATATCTTGAGATGTCTTGATGGTCTTGAGGTCTTGGTCTGGGCCTCAGGGGGTTTAGTCTTGGTTCTGGTCTTGATTTCTCTGCTAAGGGAAAATTAGTAGTTTAGATTCCCAGGTTATATTACATGATGAGTTTAAATTGCACACGATGACATATATTGTAAACCTATATATAGATCCTCCTGGTGGCTATAAAATGGGTTTTGCATGTACTGTAGTATTTACATATATTTATTTTAACCCTGTATATATGGAGCCTGATATATGAAACAATAGCCAGAAAAATCTAATTTTAGTGGAACAGTTTATTTAACCTTTACACATAAAAAAAATCTTCATATGTTTTTTTTTCTTCTTGAATATCATATTTTATACATATAGCATGATAAATGAGAATATGGAGCTCATACTCCCAAGACGAAAAAAACATCTCAATTTTATTCAGAGGCCCAACCCAAACTAAGCAAAAATATGCCGTTTTTTATGCAGATGCTGATTTATATGGCCAAAAAGTAATTTTAAATTCAGATAACTTGTAATGTAAATCAGTGAGATCTTTATAGCAGTATAGCAGACTACTTACAAAAAAATATCAGTTTTCACTCTATATATTCCAATAATAAGTGTTAGTATAATGATATTTGCTTAAGCTTTGTAGTTTTTATTGTGAAGGGCAAAAACATGCAATCTAATACAATGATGATTAAAGGGTGTACAAATTAACATTCCCCAAAAGCATGAGGTTTCATATTTGATACTCACATTTTTAAGTAATTTTTCAAAAATAAATGAATAAATAATAATAATAATAATAAAGGCCTACAGAAAATTAGGCCTACCGGTAATCAAGCAAACCTAAGTTGTTTGCAGTTCAGTCAGTGTTTATCTTGAAATATTACTAGCAATATAAAAGTTTGTCATGCATTTATTTTAATAAAGATTTCATGGCAAAAAGACACGTAGGTGAAGTTTTTATAATTATTCTAAATGGCCTTTTACGGCCTTTAAAAATGTGTAAACTATCAATTAGATGACAAAACACATGTAGGCTTGTATATTGTGCATGCAGGCAACAGGTTTTTCATGTTTTAATCATGTTAACAGTTTAGAGACCTTAGAATTGTGTGTATTATGATACATTAGGATGTATAGGGTTCATGTAGTTAGTGTTTGCATTTAATGTTGAAGACGTACATACAAAATATCAAACCTTTTGTCGTCTGCGATCACTCCACAAAGTGTTCATATCGCGCCATCTAGTGGTGAAAAGCCGCAAAGCAGGTGTAAATGAAAACCCAGTCCATGCGCATGCGCAGTGCACAGCCGGCCCGTGGAGCGATGTAAAACATGGCAGCCTCCAGTGCTCGCTCTACCACACGCTGGCTGTCAAGCAGTTTACCTGGACTTCGCAGCACCTGTGTGCTTTTAAAGTCCTTTAGACACGCAGATATTGCGGCTCTGAGGATATTTTGGATTCGCAGTTATGTGAAGGGGGGTAATTTAAGCTGCTGGAGGCACAGAGGAGGTGTGACATTGAACAGGGTACCAGGTGAGCTGGTTATGTGATCAAAGTAGTTATAATAACTCTATTAATAGAACAAGCTTATTATATTGCATTTGTACATCAGCTATGACATATCACACTGTAGTGCACGTATTTGTCCATTATGTCAGTGATATAAGAAAGGTTGAAAGATGATGCAACTGACTAACATAATTGCCAATAGACGTAAAGTGCCCTTATAAAAATGTACCATGGTAACAATAATAGTTACTGTCACTACCGTGAATGTGGGAAACTTGGCGTAGGCACACATGGATTTACAGCTGAATACACAGCGGCGGGCGAATTGATTTCGTACATGATTAGATGATTCTATCATAAAGACTCGTTTCGTTTTTTGATTGATAGTCGTTGAATTCTGAATAGGATTCCAGCTAACAAAAATATGTTCTAAGAACGTTTTGCTATGATGTTTTATTAGGTTATGAAAACGTCATTTCTGAACATTTCATGAACGCTCAAAACGTCCAGTAAATAAATAAATAAATGTTTAACAAACTTTAGGTTTTAACATTCACTTTAAGTTATGTGAATGTTCTATTTGCAAACATTATGGAAATGTTAATTTTTGGAACGATCTGATTAGTAACCATTAAAAACGTCTAAAATGTTTCAGAAAAATTAAGTCGCTCATAAAACACCTGTCACCACCTACTGGCGTGATGTAAACTGCAGAAAGAATCGCTGAAAAACCTCTCAGGTTACTTATGTAACCATGGTTCCCTGAGTAGGGAACGAGACACTGCGTCCTCTACTCGACCTACAGCATGCTCCAATGCTGGAACGGCTATCAGTAGTTTACCTAGGCTGAGGGAGCACAAACCCAGCTCTCCTGAGAGGGGGCTCGACCTGCAGCATGATTGTAAAATCAGAAGGGTAAGCATACTGCAAGCTAGCCAAATGCTCAGCGCATCAGGGAGGCAGAGAAAGGGCCTAATCCACCTGATGCTGCTGGTTCCAGGTGCTCTGGAAAAACAGAGAACTCAACTTCTCATGTGAGAGGAGAACTCCGAATTCAGAGGATAACGTTGCTCATTCCAGGTAACCCTTTGAAAAAGGGGAGCACTGCTCAAACTACCACGAGGACAGCCCATGGAGCGAGGCATCCAACTCCTAGAAAAGGGACAGAACACACAGGTCCTGGGAAACACTGCAAAGAAACTAGCAGAGGTTAACACACAACCACTAGTTTCATTAGATACACATATATATTCATATATACATATATTTGGACATGGATTGTACTCACCCACCATGGTCAGGTGAAGAGATGGTAGGTTACAGGGGAATTAAGAAGGGGAAGAAAAGGGTATATATTATACCCCCTGAGGGAAAGAGTGGATACCTAAGTATTACTCTGATCCGGACGAAAGTGCTGACGCCTTGTCTGGATCACATCCCTCAGGTCTTGCCTACCTCCCTTTGACCCACGATACTTCCTACCCCTACCCGCAGGCGGAGGGAGGAGTAGCGCGAGTCGTGACACTAGCCTTCTGTGCTCGTCTCTGATCCTCACACCGAGACGGGCCAGGACCCCTGGGTTGTTCGGGCTCAGACGGTTTTGAAGGCCGCTAAGCGCGCCTTCGCCTCCCTGAACTTTTCGACCACCATCTCAACGGATGTACCAAAAAGTTCAGAGGGCGAAACCGGGGCATCGAGAAGAAAGCCCAAATATTTGTATGAATAGAAAGCGTTTATTTAAAACATGAAGCTTTTGTAACATTATATGTTTTTTAAAGATATTATTAATCAATTGAATGCATCCTTGCTGAATACAATTATTAATTTGTACTGAATATGGACTTTTTTTTCATGAAATTCACTAGGTTTTTAATAAGGTGTGTTGCATGCTGTTCTGTATGTATAGACCCTCAGTGATGAGCTGAAGAGGAAGCAGTATGACACGTACGGTTCTGCCGGTCCGGGCGGTAGTGGGGCGGGGCAGCACCAGTACTGGAGAGGCGGGGCCACCGTGGACCCAGAAGAGCTGTTCAGGAAGATCTTTGGAGAGTTCGCAGGGGGGCGTGGCTTCGGCGACCTCAACTCCATGTTCGAACAGGCACCTGAAGTGAGAGACACAGTGACGAATGTCCCTCAATTGTGTTTGTTCCTCTTTAAACTCCCACCATATGAACCCTCTCTCTCTCTCTCTCTCTCTCTCTCTCTCTCTCCGTAGTTTGTGATGGAGCTGACGTTCTCACAGGCTGCCAAGGGCGTGAATAAGGAGATAACGGTCAACATAGATGACGCCTGTCCACGCTGTGATGGAAAAGCTCATGAACCGGGAACTAAAGTGTCACATTGTCACTACTGCAATGGAACAGGCATAGTGAGGACGCCATAGCAATGGTATTAGCAACCATGCTTATCGTCTTTACATTTTTTGCATAGTTTACTCTTTTATGCAGGAGTCTATAAACACCGGTCCGTTTATGATGCGCTCCACGTGTAGGCGGTGTGGTGGGCGGGGCTCTATCATCATCACACCTTGCATTATGTGCCGAGGAACTGGACAAACCAAACAGAAACAGACCGTCATGGTACCTGTGCCTGCAGGTGTGTGTCCATGACTGACTGTATATTCTAGCTGCATTGGTGCAGAGAGTGAACTGAGGTGAGCGTATGAGAGACTGACTGACAGTTGTCGACGTGTTACAGGTATAGAAGATGGACAGACAGTTAAGGTGCCAGTCGGGAAGAAATACATTTGCATCACATTCAGAGTGAGTTTTTCTTTCCAGATAGAACCTCCGATGCTCATTAAAAATATTTGGACACACAACATCACACTTAAAAATCATATGAAATATGGATGTTCCACAAAGAAAGGTGTCCAATTTTGAACAGTATATCTTATCATTTTTATGAATTTAAAATCTAACAAACTTATTTTTATCAAATGCTTTTCTTGAAACGTGTGCATGTGATATATTTCATTAAAATAGCTTATTTAAAATGGCAGGCTCTTTGAAATATTTTTGTAATGTTTTTTATAAAATGCATGTCTTAAGTGTCCACATACTTTTTTGGGGGGCACAGTATGATTATCATATTATGATGATTATGATTTTAATCATATTATGAATATTTATTGCATATTTAGTCTTATATATTTATTCATCTTTACTATGACTTTTACATAGTAACTCTTAATTAGTGTTATCCTCAAAATGTATTCCTATTTATTAAATTATTTTTTTTTATTTTAGAATGTTTTTTATTATATTTTTCATTATGTATGCCTGTTTATTAAATTAGCTAATTCTTAATTTCTAATTTTACATTGCTTTTATTACTATATTTTATTTTTATTTTACATTTGTTTTTTTATTTACAGTAATTTTTTTAATGTTATATTTGTTTACTTTCTCTATTGTTATTTTACTTCCTCTGTATCTTTTAATGATTCTAACTTACAAAGAAAACATGAAATAATTCCTATTTATTAAATGAGCTAATTTTATTTTTAACATTTTATTTCACATTTGCTTTTTTATTTACAGTAGTGTTTTTTTTTTAAATATTTTTCATTATGTATGCCTGTTTATTAAATTAGCTAATTCTTAATTTCTAATTTTACATTGCTTTTATTACTATATTTTATTTTTATTTTACATTTGTTTTTTTATTTACAGTAATTTTTTAAATGTTATATTTGTTTACTTTCTCTATTGCTATTTTACTTCCTCTGTACCTTTTAATGATTCTAACTTACAAAGAAAACATGAAATAATTCCTATTTATTAAATGAGCTAATTGTTCATTTCTACATTTTACACTATATTATCTTTAATTTTACTTTAACCTAATTTTAATTTACACTAGTGTTGTATTTTATTTCATTTTATATTATACTACTTTTACCTTTTAGTATCTGTTATTTAATATTATTTTTGTAATTTATTTCTATATATTAAGTTTGCTAAACTGCCTTTTATTACTATTATTAAATTTTACACTTATTAATGTACACTAGGGTAATTTTTTTCCGTAAATGAGTCCTATTAAATTGCTAATTGTTAATTTCTCATTTTAAACAGCACGTATTGTTTTCTATCTTATTTTATTCTAAGCAGCTTATGTGTGTGTATCTCACTTCCTGTGTTGCAGGTCCAGAGGAGTCCAGTGTTTCGTCGTGATGGTGCTGATATCCACTCGGATGTGATGATTTCAGTAGCGCAGGCGATTTTAGGAGGAACAGCCAGAGCACAGGGCCTGTACAGCACCATCGACATTGCGGTTAGAAAATAAAAGGACTTTTATTGTGCCTTGGCACAGTATAATATGACTAAAAGGAAATATGTTTCCTGCAGATTCCTCCAGGCATTCAGACAGACCAGAAGATCAGGCTGGTAGGAAAAGGCATCCCACGCATTAATAGCTTCGGTTATGGAGATCATTATGTACATATCAAAAACAAAATTCCTAAGTAAGAGGCATTCGCAGACACATGTGCGCATATATGCACATCCAGCGTGAGTGTCTAATGAACCTCATGGATCATTTACAGGAAACTGACAAGCAGGCAGAGAATGCTGCTCTTAAGTTATGCAGAGGATGAGATGGATGTGGAAGGAACTGTTACTGGAGTAACCAGACCAGCCAAAGGTAAATCAACACACACCTTTATACACGCAAAGATAACATCAATGTGAAGTAATCATTTACCTCAAACTTAATTTCCTTCAGCTGTTTTACTAAATCTGTTTTATTCAGGTAGTTCTCAAGCCGGACAGACCTCAGAATCAGGGCAGAGCCGAGAGGAAGAGCCAGAGAAAGAGGAAGGGGGATTTTTCTCTAAACTGAAGAAGATGTTCACCTGAAGATCATAGAATGCAGCAGTCTTGGGATTGTTTTAGTGTACACTTGGTGTGTATTAACAGAAATTTCAAGCTATATTCAAAATTTAAAGCCATCATAGAGTCTAGAAGTACTACATGCACCCAATGTCTTTCTGCTAGTTTTAAAAAGAGCTGAACCTTGTAATTTCAGCTCAGTGTCTTTTTAAAGCATCACTAGCTTGTTTGGATGCATCAGTCAAGTTAAGAATATTCATTCACCAATGAAAATTTCCAGTACAAATGGGTTGTTTTCATCCAGGCAGACAATCTTGTATTTCTATTCTACTTTAAGGCCAAAGACGAGAAGTATGAAAGGAGTACATGAAAGAAGCGCGCACACCCAGCAGAGGACTTCTCCAATAACTCCACACCATCTCCAGTCTGCTCAGATTAATTGCTGAGGCACATCAGAATCATCAGAAAATTATGGACTTAAAATGAAGCTTTCAGAATCTCAGCCTGAGGATGACATCTTAACCTTTCTGTGATGTTTGGTGTATGCTGATGTTTTAATGGGGAATGTCTGAATAAATGGTCACACAAGAAATCTGTTTTGTTATACTCTATTACTTCTGTATAATTTTATAACATTTCTGTTTGTTAGCATTAAAACGATGAATGGCTATATTTTATTGTTAACATAGTCAAGAATAATAAGCATTGCTAGTAACCCTTCAGCAGTGACTACATGATAAATGAAATGTGTAGTCCTTGAATACGTTTTTACTGTTTTTAAACTATATATCATGTCTGCTAAAATGATTATTGAAGCAGAATATTTTTCTTGAAATGGATTTCGCTGAAAAATGCAATTTAGTATATAAAATAAAAACCAAATAATCCCTGATAGCACACATACATGACGGAGATGTCTATTTGACATAGATCTGCAAGACATTTTTACTGTGTTTGCTCATCTGCAATATGTCTATAGGACGTTTCCTATCAAGTGTCAAATAGAAGTTTAGAAAATGTCTTTAAGATGTTTATTTCGAATGTATGTAAAACTGACTTATTAAAGACATCTATCAGATGCTTGTACACAGCAGATGCTTTCCATGTGAAGCGATCTTTGACACATCTTGCAGACGTATGTGTGCTATCTGGGATAAGGCCTGAAAGGCCATGATTTATCGATAGAATAGTCAAGGCTGAAGAGCACTGTTTTAGCTGTGACTACATTATAAATAAAACTGTTTAAATACATTTGCCTCACAGATAAGTCCTTACTCTCTGTTTCAATGTTTTTTAACAGCTGTCTGCTAAAATTAGCCTACTATTTATGTAAGAATATTTTTTTTCCTGAAATTAATTTCGTTAAAAAGCAATCTACTACGCAAAATGAATAAACAATGAAAATTAATTGATGCCAAAAAGACCAGCGCAAACACATTTTTCGTTTCTGAAACGTGAGCTGCAGCACTTTCTGACAGGATCAATATCGGACGACACTTAGTAAAAAGTAAGTACAGATATTACATGGTGCACTATTATAGCTTTAAACATAACAAAATCTCTGTTGTTCAAAAAGAAGACTTTATACAAATATAAAATACACTTCCTCTTTTCAACGACGAAACAAGCACTCTCATAGTCACCGTCCTTCCTCTCCACTAGGTGGAAGCCTTTCTTTGATAATTAAAGACTACTTCTGTGAGGAGAGAGAACGTGACAGTCTGAGTAGCTAAATGTAAACATTAATAAAGCACTGACACTAATATTATCTGGCATTAGACTTACTACACTTATGCTTACTAGTTCTGTCATGGGTTAATATCTCAGCCTGTCCCAAAGACCCACAACCTCCTGTACTTTCATGGATGTTGATGTCCACCATGTTTTTTCCTCATGTCCCTAGTGGCTTCTACTTGAGCACATGATGATGACTTAAAGGGGTCATATGATGCAATTTCAAATGTTCTTTTCTCTTTGGAGTGTTACAAGCTGTTCGTGCATAGATAAGATCTCTAAAGTTGCAAAGACTAAAGTCTCAAACCCAAAGAGATATTCTCTATAAAAGTTAAAAGTTAAACACGCCCCACATGTCTACATCACTGTGTGGGAAGATTTGCATAACACCGCCCAAATGTTCACGCAAAGAAAGAAGGCATAACTTTTATTCTCGTTGTAGTATTGCTGCTGCCGCCGCCGCCATGTTGTGAAGGCGCTGTATGTTTCGTTGTGAAAGCGAAACTACTTAGTTTGGCCTTCCAAAAGAGGACACGACTAGAAATCAGTGGTTAAGTTGTATTTACAACACTGTTCCAGAACAGTTCAACCCAAATATTCAGATGTGTGCAGCACATTTTATGGAGGACTGTTTCCTGATCCTGGTAGAGTAGACTACAATGGGTCTGTGCTCAAAGGCTGTTTCTATAAAGTGGGGCAGTTCCAACTTTGCAAGGACAGTCTGGCACTTCTGACTCACAGACTGTAAGTACGTTTTTTTTATATAAAGAATTTGCCACTGATGATTCAAATGCGAGTTTTGAGCAGTGTAGAGCTTGTTGTTTTTATCGTTTCTCCGATCACAAATGCAGACATGGTTTTATGTTTACGTGGTGCGATACGCAACGCAATGCGTAAAAAGACAGTATAAGTCATTATAATCAGTAATGATGTCCCCACTGGAAGCAACAAATGCCTCGTTTGTAATGGGTTTTATTGGTGTTATCTCATCGCGCCGGGACACAGAATCACAGTAGGGGCATAACATTTCCGTCACACGCTTGAGATATTCAGCCAATCACAATGCACTGGATAGCTGGCCAATCAGAGCACACCTCGCTTTTCAGAACGATGAGCTTTGTAACAATCGACACGTTTCAGAAAGGCGGGGCATAGAGGAGAAACAATAATGTACAGTATGTGGAAAATAATGTGTTTTTTGAACATTAAACCACATAAACACATTGCATTACACCAAATACATAACATAATGTTCTTTTTAGCGGCATCATATGACCCCTTTAAGTGTTTTTACTGCATATTACTATATGTTTATAAACAATCCTTAAAGAGTGTCCACAGTCAGGACAAACAAATCTATTAAGCAATACAAAGTCACCTCCCAAGTGATTTTGAATCATGATTTATTGTTTTGACTGGACTTTGAGGATGAGGAGTAAGTGGAATCTGGAGTTGTATAAATGCACGTCAATCTGGTCTCCAAAACAGCAGCAACATCACAGCAACATCAACGTACAGAGACTCCTAAGAACAGACACTGGCTCGACATACTCAACAGACACTCCAATACACAGTAGCTTTGCCCAGAGGAAGCCCAGAAAGAGACATGGAGGAATGTCAATCCGGGGTTGTGTTTGTTCTTTGCTGCTCCTTGGATACTTAAAGTCTATCACTCGTCACTGGGTCTTTACAAAGTCAAAGAGAAGCGAACAACAAAGGTAAATGCACGGCACACACAAACTGACCTGCCTTAAAGCAAAATACTTAAAATCTTAAGTCAATAGGCAGCCATACTGAATGATTGGGCAATGTATAAACCTGTAGGTTGTAGTATGTAGGTCATTCTAGCACAGTCAGAATGGTCTAAAGACACTCACACACTGCTGCTGCTTGTATATGCACCTCAGGCAGAAGCTGTAAGATTACATAGACAGGTCAAACGAGGGTGAACTACAAGTCCATATACAGAGAACTATGAGCAAACATATGCAATATAATTGGTACCAGTGCCAGTTAAGTATGCTGTATAAAATGATCATGATCCCTTATAATACATAATGATACATAATAATATAAAATAATAATTATGATCAGTTGATTGTAAAAGTTTAAGTTTTTCATGTATTAAAAATTAAATATATATGCTTATTTTTTGTCTAATAATAGTAAAAGATGAGTTTTCCTTTTCAATAATTTCTAATTCGATAATTATTTTAATGAAGTCAGAATTGTGAAATATAAAAACTCTAAATTGCAAGAAAAATAAAAAGTGAAAATTGTGAGATAAAAAGTTGCAGTTACCTTTTTTTTATTCCATGGTGGAAACAAGCATATGTATCACCCTGTCATTTTTTTAAATTGTTACTTCTAAAAATGATCAAAATTAACTTAAATTCGTTATTTAAAGCATGGTTATAAAGAAATATATTAAAGTCATGATATATATGAATTGCATTTTAATGTCTTTTTTTTAAATAAATAAATTGGACGAAAAATTAGCACTGCATCACTGACCCAGAGAACAGCGACACGGCAGACGCTGTAGGGCACATGGCAGCAATGTTAAACATGCTTACAGAACATACTTTTTAACAGTCGAGAAGCAAGTTCTTCATCAAATGTATATTATGCAGTCTTCCAGTAAAGTGTTACCACATAATGTAGTGCAGTTTTTGGTTGGGTATTTGATAGTTTGAGGTGCTTCCATTGAGATGGAAACAGGTATTGAAGTGGACGTTCAGACTGTGGTTGGCGGCTCTCTTCTGGCGGGGCAGCAAAGGGGTGAAGGGCTGCTTTGTGTGGCTGACTGTGGAACATAAAGTACAGTAGTGAGCTCTGATTACTCTGAGTTTGTGTGTAAAGTGAAGTGGGTGGAGGGCAATAGAGTGGTTCCTCCTGGGCCAGGGCCTTGTGTAGCACTGCTCTCAAAACACACACTTCTCTAGACTGATATATATCTCTCCCCTGCTTAATGGCAGGCTTTCCACAGGAACTGCAAAGCTCTGATCAAGGCAACAAATTACTGGACTGCCACCATTCCCACCGACTGACTACGGGGGTGTGGGGGTAATAAATAATGTTCCAGAATCAAGACAAAATTTGGTTTGTTCTGCCACCAATCCATCATACTCCAAGAGAAGTACACGTAAAGCTTGTAAAAGCAGATTAAAGTGCAGTGGCCCTAAAGTATATTTGGACACTTTTGAATATACTTCAGGTTAGACACCATATTGAATTTAAAACTGATGGATAAGATGCTGTGTAAGACTTAAGGTTGTCTATAGGTCATCGATCATATTTTGACATTCGATTTAGGGATGCACGATATATCGGCCACCATATCGGTATCGGCCGAATTACCTTTTCTGCCATCAGACGCTCAATTAAAGTGAATCTTTTAAAACTCTATTAACTTAGTAACTGTTAAATGTAATCTTTAGCAAATCTCAATATGAATATCCATTTTCATATTGTACTTTATAATGCTGTGATGCCTAAATTCACTTTGTAGCATTTAAAATGAACGACTTTACAGTGTTTTTCCCCAATGTACTTAATCAGAATACTACAGAATTTTAATAAGGACCATTTGGTGAGTGCTTGAAGTGGCCTGCAGGCATTTGGAGAGTCTTACGGCCTGCATAGCACAGGTGTGGAGGCTAGGTAAGTGTGCAACGGTCTGTGCATGGAGCTGCTGGGTCAGTGGGCTGCCATAAACATCAGCCTAAACACAGAGAGGGAGATAGAGGAGACACCGGTACCAGCCCTGCCCTGGAGCCATCCTAACAGATGAATGATATAATACAGACCTTCTCATTAACTCGTCTGCTAAGAGAGTGCGCAAACCAACACACCCAACACCGATTGAATCCGTCGTACCTTCTGGACGTCGAAGCATGTGTCTGCATGCACCTGTACGACCCGACTAGTCTGCATTTGG